GCTCACTCAATTTATTGAACTCTTCCATCATTTCCATAAAGTGATCCAGCCAAGTTTGCGCCTCATTTGTGGAATGTAATGTCCACTCCAATAATGTAATTGGTATTTGACACCCTAGTTTCAAATAAACCTCAACAAAATGTGGGAAATTTGAAAGGTACCTGATACACATGTTGCGTCCAGATGGATCTTGAGGTGGGCTACTCCGAAGTGTAAAAAAAGTCTCAGAGAAACCATATCTTGTCAGATCGATGCACACTTTATAATATGCACTCGCTATAAGATGGCCCATTTCAGCGAAGCGCATCCATTTTGACTCCGGTGCTGGACCGCTAACACGTGGAATAAGAGCATTGTGAATTTCACCAAAATGTTCTTTTTTTCCCGTATAGTGATGTGTAGAATTCTCTATATGTCGTAAACTCTTTCAAAAGTTATTGGCAAACAAGAAGTGATTCTCCTCTCCTCTAACGAGCAAGTCGGATTCGGCCCGATAACCACAATTACCACCACCCTTGACATCTACAATCCGCTCAACGTGTTTGTGCATAAAAAGCGACATTTCTTCAATGTGGATTATTTTCAGCATCGGCGGTGAAAGAGGTAGTTTTCTAATGCGAGCTCCCTTGAAAACACTTTTTCCGATTTTAGATTTGGAGAATCCAGAATATGTAAAACCACATTTTCAAAGTATGAAGGATAGAGCTTCATTAAATTGTTATCTTGTATCAGTTTGACCTTTATAGGGGCACCTTTGGTCTTAACCGATTCCGAATGAGGTTTTCAATTTGTGGTTTTTGTATAGGAAACCTTCCTCAGTTGCTCTTTGATGTGCAACTTCATAGAGTCATCTGATTTATATATTCTATCTTGGATTATTTCTCACTTTGTCATGATAGTTATACATGATTTACCATCCTTCATCACATCATCGTTAATAAACCAGAGCCTTTTCCAGTGACGGTAGACTTCATCCATACGTATCATGACATTAATCTTCATCTTTTTTTAAATGAGACAAACACATGGAATACTATAAGTCTTCTTAAGTGTACATCCACACATTGAACTATCTTAACCTGCCTTATCTGCCCGTTTCGCTTCGTGGAAAATGAAATTCAATCCCACTCAAGATACATTGCCTATTAACTACGAATAGAGAATGTTGTCTTTGAATCAGTGTTCTAACAAGGTAATGCTCAGGCCAAAAGTTGTTTGTATTTCATTATGTTAGTTTTGGAGCATTTGGTTCACGACGTCTCACTCTTTACAAAAAGCAACCTTACTATCACCCAACCATTTCTTCAGTGCCGAATGTGCAGATTCGACTCTGTTATTTATTGTATTCTCGAGGTGTCTAACATGATCTTTCCTAAAAGAAACAATTTTCTCCTTCACTTGGTCCAGAATAGTACTCTCAACGTATTTCAGGAAATCTGGATATCTGACACACACGCGCGCACACACACACACACACACACACACACACACACACACACACACACTTCTAAAATGAATAACAGAGTCATCATACAAGTCTTCAGTGGATGAATTTAATATACACGTTCTAGACTAAGCCGAGACATGCCTCATATTCGGGAAGGCCCAACCCAATACTACGTTGGGAAGGTCAAACAAAGACCAACCCTCTTCTATGTCGAGTATGCTTAATACTACCGTCGGGAAGACCACTACCTAGCACGGGAAGAGCTCACACGTCTTTCCCACAGACTTCATGTGCCCCCCACACAGGGACACGTCATCAAGCAACTACCCACTTTCGAATCAACTGGTCAGCCCACCTTCCGAAGATCACGTGACAGTTAACCCATGGTGAAGACCACGTGTTGGTCTTCCCTCCGCCATGTAAGTCCTGGAAGTTACTCGTATTGGACCTTGCAACCCAACCCAATGCAAAGTAATCGTTGGCCCTGTGCTGGGGGAACATTATAAATATCCTCTTTCACTAGAGGGTTAGGTACACCCCTCATCCTTTTCAACACCGGTGAACACATGAGTTCACGATGCGTGGCAGACTACTGATTCTTTTTTGATCAGGTGAAATCAATATCATACCATGCATCCATTATCTTTTCCTACACCATACTAGGTTTGACCATTTTTTCCTCTTCACCCTTGATTTGTTTGATTTCTACCACGGGTTTGAGTCGATTCTCACATTTTTTGTTATGTGATACCGATAAAGTAATGTGTATGATATAGGAAACACATTTGCAACCGAGTTTATAAGTGCAGTGTCTCAATCGGTGACAATTACATTCGGCGTGTTTTCTTTTTCCTTCAACAAATTCTTGAACATTTCCAAGGAGCATGTCACATTGTTCTCTTTTTCAATTTCCAAAAATGCGAAACCAACTGAATAAGGCTTCTTCGTAGAAGTAACACCGAGAAGCGAGAGCCTATACTTGTTGGTTTTATACATTGAATCAATTATGAGGACAGTGGGAATGTGTTGAACAACTTGGTACATTCAGGTTGAGTCCAAATTATGTCATAAACAATGACTTTATCCTCGCAAACTCTGTACATAGAAACATAGTGGTTATCATCCAAAAGTTTCAAAAAATTTTGCATTTCGAATCTTAGACCTCTTATCGCCATGTTGTTTCGATAACACGCATTGTATACATGCTTGATATTCGAAACACTTTCAGGTCTTTCCATTTCAAATCTGCAAGTATGTTTTTCGGCGTCACCCTGATTGAAGATATCTCTAAAACAATTTCCTTCTCCTACGGTTTAAGGCGACATACGATGGATTCATCGACTGGCTAGGTTTGCAAGGCATGATTATGTATACCAAAAACCACATTAAATTTCCATGTATCATTCATTTTACAGTATCCGCGTAATTTAAGCGGATACACACATTTTCTTGATCTGATTTCATCACGTTTCAACTTCAGAATCGATGGAACGTACATTCCACTTCTCTCACATCCCATGGTTGCAAATGTTTGTCTTTTATTAGCACCATTGTTAGACCTTATGATTACAATGCCAAACCCCAATTTCTATGGCCTAAATGCAGACCCATTAAAACATATGTTCATGAGTAGTAAATATATGTTTATTTCTAAATTGTTGACCAACATCTATCTCGACAACAACCAATTTAGCATCCGGTTTAACATCATCCTTTACCTCATCCTATTTAACATCATCCTTCACTTTCCAGTTTTACATCTTAACTCACAGCAGCTTTGAAAAACATATACGAATTTACCATTTCTAATAGGAACGAAAACAAAAAAAAGGTTTAAAAAACTCACAATAACAAGAAAATTCGGATGTGCATATCTGAAACATGAAAGGTGGAATTTAGAGATGCACATTCCGACTCAACGTACAATTTTTTAAGCTCAAGAACAAGATTAATGCAAGCAATGAGGGATGAAATGAGTGAACTTTACCTTAAATTGCGGTTTCTTTTGCTCCCTTAAATTGGAGTTGATTAAGAATGATTTTTTTTTGGGTTATGGAGGTGGTATGACAACATGAGCGAGATGATCATGTAATGTGGTAATATATTCAATTTTCTGCTTGATAGTTTTGGAAATGCATCTTCGAAAATGTCATTGAATGATTAAATAAATCAGTTTAGTGAAAAACGCGTAGAAAATGGTACTCAGAGAAATTTTCAAAAATGCATCTCCGAATACACCCCATAAAATTTTCACAGATGTATCTCCGGACCAATTTTTTAACAAAAAAAATAGGATGGGTGCTTGATTTACAAAGGATGAAGTAATTTATGATGCATCTAAAAATACATCTCAAAAAACAAATGAGATTTCATAGGTCTGAACCACCTAATTGTGGAAATTTTTTTTTCCAATTTCAACTATCCATTGAGTAATTGATTGAAGCCCTTTAATACCTACAATGGCCATATATGTGACTTGTCTAACTCAATTCAATTCAGTTTGATCTCTTATGATCGAATAAAAAAGTTTCGTTAGATTTGATTTGTTGTTACGTTTTCCTAATTTATGTTCTTATTAACTACTGCCAACATCATATTGGAGATGCAGTGCATTATATAATGGAATGTGATAAAGGAAGCAAGAGCATGACCATTATATAATGGAATGTCATATTGGTTTTCCTAATTTATGTTCTTATTAACTGCTGCCAACATCATATTGGAGATGCAGTGCATTATATAATGGAATGTGATAAAGGAAGCAAGAGCATGACCATTTACTCAACATTGGTGTAGATATGCTCCTATTTATAGTTAAGAATGTTGTCTCACAATTTCAAAGGCTTCCACTAAATATATTTGACAACAATGAGTAATTATCAAAGGCTTCCACTAAATATATTTGACAACAATGAGTAATTATTTTTATTGAATCAAACATCCAGTGATTGATAACAAACCAAGAAAACTTGCATAAACTCACTCCTCATGCTAAATGAAATATGAATTGCATATGTATTTTGCTTCTGCAAAATGGCAAAATCTAATACTTTACATTTATTCTACCATAGAAAATAAATTTTGTTTAAATCATTATTTGGTACTTAAAAATGTTTAAAATTAAACTCCTACATTCCATCAACACATTTTGATTTTCAAATGTCATTGGGTTAGGTTTTATACTTTTATTTTAAAATTTGAATGCTTGAGCATTATCTGTCAACGTGTTATGCTCATCAATTTCCCTCTGCCTGAGGTAATCTCCATTTGAAGATTCAAACCTTTAAACACACAATACAAATATTTGCAAGTTTTTCTATTGACAGGCCTATACAGAATGCACCCACATACATTCTTCAAAACACGAGATACTCACATACATGCTTCAAAACCGCAAGTCAAGATACTCACTGCATGTTTTGTGCAGCTTTGTAGTGCATGCACTTAACTGAATCATAATCCTCAACAACATTCAACATAATTCTCAGAATTAAGTATCATTCAAATTTAACAAAATTTGCAGGACATTCAACATAATCCTCAACAACGATCGTCACCACCATTTACACTTCTTATGATCCATCACAGTCTCATACAAATCATCATAATCCTCAATCGAATCATCACCGCCGTCTTCATTCCCATATACTCTATCAGAATTCTGATGTACAACCATTACGCGCCTACAGTTTGTAGAGGAAATTTGGAAAAACTTTTTGTAAAAGCGGATTAAATCCTCCTCTATATCTTTCAATTTATCAACCACCATCATGTCGGTATAGAATTTGCAACTGAAAATCATTTTTAATATCACTTTATTCAGCAAAAGATAATTTTTAAGCAAATAAAAGATGATTTTTAAGCAAAAAAGATAATTTTAAATACCTAAACTTAATTATAGCTGTCCAAAATTCTTCAGTTTCCTTTTCGAGAGAAGGATCCATTGATAGAGTCTTTATCAAGCTACTTTTGTAGTTTTGAAACACTTCATTGTCCTAGTCTCCCTGTAATAAACACCATGATTAGGACATTGTTTTTGTAATAAATACAAATGATTATTATAAGACATACTTGAAACATATATACTAAAATAATTTTAAGGAAACAACTCACAAAAAACTCTTCAAGGTCATCAATAAACTTTTCCAAGCAATGTAGTAAGCTGCCTATCTTGTGGTGAGATGTGATAACCTGGAATTCATATCCCCAAACATTGTGTATTACCCTTGTAGAACAACAAGCAGTATAACCAAAAAGCTTTTTGCTCCTGTTTACGAATACATATTTTAGAAATTTTAGTATATTTCTTTAACAAATATAAAAAATAATACTAAAGCTAAGTTGTTACCTCATCTCAACAAAAAAAATGTTCTACTATGAGTGAAAAGAGATTCAACCAGACTATTAAATCCAATGATCCGAACAGATTTTTTTCAATTTGAAAATAAGTCTGCATAACAAAACAAATAGAAAGATCAAATTGTTAAAAATTATTGTTGAAAGATATTTATTGAAGGAATAAATAGAATGATAAAATACCTGAACAAAAGAATTGGAGCCCTGAGAATTCTCGGAAGTAATGGGAATTACAGGCAATTCTTGTTGTCCGAAAAGCTTATTTCATCTGCATCTTCCTTTTCCACGTTTCCGTTGCAACTTTCTTGAATAAATACCTATATAAAATTAAAATAATTATTTTGAAAAAAACTGTTGACAATCTCTAAACAAATATTGTGACACGCTTTATTAATATAGATCTCGGCATGCATAGGAATATTTTACTTCTTCTATTTCCAAATGTGACTAATTCAAATAACAAATTGTAAATATATAATTATAACTGGTAACTATCTTTAATAAAATTTTTCATATCCTTAAAGGATAAATTATTTAGATGATTCCACGTGACAGCTTTCTCATAGATGAGATCCTGTTGATCCTAGGATGCAGTTCAAACATGTCACTGCTCTTTTATAACCTGTTAAAATAAGCCTGGGTCAGAACAAAATAAGAATTAAAATAGATCAATTCAAAAAATAATTTACAAAAACATGACACTCATCCTATACCAACCATTATCCACTGGAAGGAAATTATTAACTCTTTCAAAATCTTCTACAAAAGATTAAGAGTCATTCTATTAATACTTACCATCTTTAACTCCTACAAATTGGAGTTCTTTGTTTATTTGGGTTTATTTGGGCCTGCGTAGCCTGCACACATAGACACAACTTCATACATAGAGGCAAATACAAACTCTAGAAAACTAGAGACAGCTCTTTAGGCTTAATTTTTGCATACACTATACGAGAAAAGGCATGGAGGTATATTAGAAGATCTCTTATTGATCAGTTTTATAAACATACACCAATATATACACCTAAGAGCCCTTGGATATATAAGTGAAAAGAGGAAGAGGACTGAATATTTATAGCTTATCATGATTGTCATGTAGTTACAAATAATAACCTACAATTATTGCATTATTGCTCTATTAATTATTCTAAAAATGTATCAACTGGTCCTTGTTTCTATCAAGTATATCTCTGAACGGAAGCACCTTGTAATGGATAAATTACAAAGTGGTGGTAATTTGACTATATAAGATTAGCTTTAAAAAAAGGTTAATTTTTAAAATATACATAGATGGCTGACCTTAGTCATGACACCAAACAACTTGTTTTCAAGCATGTTAATCCAAAATTGTGATAATGCCCGGTGTTTAGCTCTATTCGATTTAACCTGCAAACTCTTGAAGTGTGGGGAAAATGAACTTTGAAGAAGGAACGTCACATAGGCCTCCAACACCATCAAATGCCATACAAAATAAATTCAAATTGACAGCACCCCTTTACAAAATAAAACAAATTCTTTACCATTAATTTTTTATATTATATAATATATCTATTTATTATTCATTTTTAATTACTTTTCACGAACATGCAGGAAAGAAAGAGAGTTTGAGAGGAAAGTCGGTTTTGATGATCTTTACAACAAAGTCTTGGAGTTCTATCCTAATAAATACTGCGGAAACATAACGAAGTTAGTCGTTATAGGCGGAAGTAAGTTTTTATATTAGATTTATTAAAATTTCATCCATAATCAATTAATCTCAATTTATATTTAGCTAGAAAATTATCATGTTTAATACAAAATGAACCTATAGATTGTCCTCACTAAACATCTCGCATACAGAGTCTATTCAAATTTTGCTAGGTAAGGTTGGGTGGAAGAGTTTTTCAAGTCTATTAAAAAGACGCGTGAAAAAGTTTCCGAAACGAGCCTATCCAATTCTGTCTCATCGGTACTATCCAATTTGGGTTAGACAGCAAGTTCAGACAAAAAAATAGAAAAAGAATACTTTCATAAAAGCGTTCTATTTGAAAATCTCGTGTTGTATACCGTTTAAAAGATTCCGATGATCTCTACTAATATTATCGTGGACCTTAGCTTGTAGATGTACCAATATCACCCAGAGATGTTTTTCATTTCATCAATTAATGTAAGAGATGTTATTTAACAATTACTTTTCCCTATTTTCTTCCTTTAAAATTATTCGACAAAATATTTTAATGTTTCTGATGACAAAGGAAGCTTACATTCATCGTGGACCTTAGCTTGTAGATGCTACAAAGGTGGTAGAGGATAGTGTTGGAAATGAAATATTCAAGTTTACATACCGTCATGCTGATTAGGATATTTCTAGGTTCCTCTAATCTTCGTAAGGTAATTAGTTCTTTAAAAAGAAGTATTTCAAATTTACTTTTTTCTAATATTAATTTAATTTTAATCTATCAATTTTCAGATAATCCGAATTATAGACTTAATATATCAATATATTAAGTTGATTGGTGATACTTCGCCAAAATAAATATTCGAAAAAATCCATAAGATTGAGGAAATAAAATTCTACAAAGAGTGGACGTGAAAAGTTTGAAAAACTTTCAGATTTATAATTCACAGACTCCTTATATTTATTCTTTTGCGGCAAACTATTCAATAAACTTTAAAAAAAAATATTTATTCTAATTATGTTATTGCAGAAAATTGGTTATTGTATCCACCAAAGCACGTCATACATATGAGATGAAGAGTTAATGAAAAAATTCTTAATTACTTTGTTTCAAACAACATGAGAGTGAAAGTTGTGTCCGATGCCTCGTTTCCGATGCCTTTAAATGGAAAAGAGAATGTATGTTATTTTTTTTATCCTCCTACACTTATAATGTATAAGTGTACGAGGATAAAAAAAATAGCATACATTTCCTTTTCCATTTAAAGGCATCGGAAACGAGGCATAGGAAACAACTTTCACTCTCATGTTGTTTGAAACAAAGTAACTAAGAATTTTTTCATTAACTCTTCATCCCATATCTGGGAAAAATGATCCGCATGTATGAAGTGCTTTGGTGGATACAATAAAAAAAAATTTACAATAACATAATTAGAATAAATATTTTTTTAAAGGTTTATTCAATAGTTTGCCGCAAAAGAACCAACATAAAGACTCTCTAAATTATAAACCCGAAAGTTTTTCAGCTTTTTCACGTAGAATTTTATTTCCTCAATTTTATGGATTTCTTCGAATATCCATTTTGGTGGAATATCACCAATCAAGTTAATATATTAATATATTAAATCTATAATTCGCAATATCTGAAAATTGATCGATTAAAATTAAATTAATATTAGAAAAAAGTAAACTTGAAATATTTCTTTTTAAAGAAGTAATTAACTTAGGTAGACCAGAGGAATTGAGAAACTTCCTAATCTCGAACACATGAGCAGCAGATGTCTTGAATATTTCATTTCCAACACTAGTTTCTACCTTTGTAGCCCATCCGAGATTCTTAAGAAAGGAAGGTAAGCTTCCTTTGTCATCTAAAACATTTTGTCTAATAATTTTGTAATTTTAAAGGAAGAAAATAGGAAAAAGTAATGGTTAAATAACATTTGTTACATTGATTGATTGATAAAATCAGTAACCTATCTCTCGGAGTGATATTGGTAAATCTTGTACAGACAAATAGAACCTTTCTTATTCTTTTTCTATTTTTTTCTGACCTTATTGTGGAACCCAAATTAGATAGTACCGATAAGATCGAATTGGATAGACTCGTTTTGAAAACTTTTTCACTTAATTCTTTTTATGCAAAATGTTTAGTGAGGACAATATATATGTTCATTTTATACTGAACATAATAATTTTCTTACTAAATATACAATGAGATTAATTGATTAGAGATGAAATTTTAATAAATCTAATATAAAAACTTACCTCCGCCTATAACCACTAACTTCATTATATTTCCGCAGTATTTATTACGTTAGAATTGCAAGACTTTGTTATAAAGATCATCAAACCCGACTTTCCCTCCCCTCCAACTCTCTTTCTTTCCTACATGTTCATGAAAAGTAATTAAAAATGAATAATAAATATGTATATTATATAATATAAAAAATTAATTAATGGTGAAGAACATAATACACCTACCTAATAAAAACATTTTATTATATTGATGGCCTTTTTTGATGAGTGACTTCTAAATTGATTAAGAATGAATGCCGGATCATTTTGTCTTTCATAAAATTCTGCATTAACATTAGCATTCTTGTTTATTCAAAGAGAAAAAAGGTATATTTCATAAGATAAAAATCAAACATACCAGAGTGTACTGCATTCAATTCCGCGTTTAGAGTATCTTTTGAAAAAATAGATAGAATGAGACCATCAGCAAACCTATAATAATCAATAAAAAAAATGTTATTAGACAGGCAAAGAATCCAAACCAATTCTTTCAAACACAATTTGGGTAGTATAAGAAATTTACCTCTCTAGAGCATTTTTCAAAAATTCACCGTTAATTTCAAAACTAAAGACAGTATGCTCAACGCCGATAAATGCCATAGTTGAGCCACCATGTGTCCGAACGTGGCGATCAGA